TTAGAATTATATCCAGAATTAACAACTCCACTTTCAATTAATTTAATATCACAATTAGAAAAAAAAGGAATTGTTGAAGCTGGAGACCGTTTATCATTAATTCGTTATCAAACAATGACAGAAGAAATATTTAATGAATTTTTATCATTATTTAAACAAACAAGTTCTGATGTAAATCAACGTCAAGTAAATTATCCATTATTTTTCCAATGTGCTGTTTCAACAAATGGTGAATCTGTTAAAAAAGTTCTTCAATGGATTGAGAAAAGATTTACTAATGAACAACTTATTGTTATTGAACTTTTCTTAGAACAACTTAAATCAGTTAAAAATAAATTTCCATTGGAAATGTTACCAAATAATTTCGAATCAATTGAAAATATAATTAATATTGCATTAAATCATTTACAACAATCAGAAAATACTTTACGACGTATTATTAATTATCAAATATTTTTACTTCAACTTGTTGAACATTCTTCAAATAAAGAACAAAAAGAAAAAATTCAAAGATTTGCTACGAAAATTCTTAAAGAGTAAGATTATTAATTCATAATACAAAATCTACAATTTTTAATTTCAATTTAGATGTTCTTCGAAAAATGATGTTTATAGAATATTTACTGCATCGATATCTAAAACATATCCAGAAACACGTCATATATTGGCAAATATTCTTATCTCAGATATCTTTCCAAAATTGATTTCAAAATCTATGTTGAACGAATTAGTTAGTGTATTAAATTCAGCTATTGACGAAGCTTGGCGTTTACCACAAATTGATTCATTTATTGATAAATTTTTTACTGAATTTCTTCCTTCATCAATAAAACTTCAATCATCATTTAGTATTGATTCACATTCGACATTAATTTCATTTTATCTCAAAAATCGTTCAACTCGATTTCAACGTGTTAATTATTTAATTAATAAATTGGATAAATTATTTTTTATTAATACAGATGTTCAACAAATTGCGATACGTTCACAACAACATCGACAACTCATAGATCAATTAATTCAAGATGAGAAATGTTTTACTTTTGATAAATTATCAAACGAACAAAGTAAATTTTCAACAATCTTAACTTCATCTAAGAAAAATATGAAAGAACCTGGTTTAAATACTGATACTTTATCGAGCTTATCTCATTTATTAACTGGAAAACAACAAGAACATATTACAAATATTATTCTAAATGATTATCTTCAAGTAAAAAATTGTCTATAAAAATATTGAAAAATTTAAAATTTTGTTTTTTCTTTAGGATAAAGAAGTAAGTAATTTACAAAAATTAGTATCATTTCGTATTCTTCGTCGTCTAACACATACATATAATATAACTCTCGAATGGATCTATAAAAAACAAGATTCACCATTACCAATTGACAGTTCTACAGAGAAGAAAAGTTCTCGTAATCGAGGTGCTGCTACTGAACCACTTGATGATATCCTTATATGTTTACCATCTACATTTGATTTAACGCCACAATCATTAATTAAACATTTGGAGTTTTTAACAACAAAATTAAATGCATCAAATGCAAAATATATTAGTGATGCTATGTTAAGTATTTCACGAAAAATACCGGATGAAATATTTCTAGAAAAATATCTGGATTTTATACAAAATGAACAATTTCAAAAACTTGGTAAAGAATAAAAAATAAAACATTCAATTTATTATTTTATTTTATTTTAAGGTACATCAGCAAATAAAGCACTACTTCGTTTATTAGTTGAATATGTATCAAATACAAATTTAATAAAATTAATTATTAAGCCAATATGGAATAAACGACCACATCAAGATGTTCGTGCATGTCTTATTTTAACTTTACTTCATTTTATTGGTAAAACGTCTTCAGAAGAAGATGAAAATATTATTTGGGAGATTCTTGAAGAAGCAACAGAAGATGATTATCTTCCTGTTGTACAAAATTTATTTGCTGATCAGCCAGGAAGATCTTCTGGGAGAGGAAAATCTTCTCCTTCTTGGCCATTAACAAAACTAAAACATTCATCTGAAAATGTTTTTGAAACATTTATTAATCGAGTACAATTTAAAGTATTAGATCATCCAACATCACTAAAAGCACGTTTATGGGCTTGGTCTAATATCGATCATGAACATTGTGATATGAAGAAATTATATGAAAAAGCTCAAGAATTATGTATACAATTTGATAAAGATGGAAATAGTTTATGGTCAAATGCTTTTGAAAAAATTCTTTCAGTTTATAAACAACCAAAAACGTATGTAAAATATATTATTATAGAATAAACTAATTTCTATTTTTATTACATAGATTATCATCAAATATGGTTAATGACATAGTTAAAAAAATGATATCACGTCGAGAAGAAATTGATTCGAAAGAAAATGCTATTGATAATCAACATGATTTACCAGTTTATCATCGTATTCAAAGTCTTTTAACAATTCTTAATTCTAAAATAAATGATTTTGATAATGAAAAAAAACTTTCTTTTCGTTCACTTTCTCCAATTATTCTTCAATTTGATAAGACATTGTCTCCTCAATTGGCAAAATTATTGATAAAAACAACTCAAAATAAAGAAGAACTTGAAGGTGTATTGCAAATGTTTCAAGAAAATTTACCTAAAAATTATTTTGAACGAATATTAACAGACATATCAAGTGAAATCAATAATAGTCATTCATCTTTTTTTATTCAACAATTAAGTGGTGATGAAAAACTTGAAGTAGCTCAATGGTTTATTAAAGAAAAAAATCGAACATTATTTGTTTTTGATTTTCTTAAAAATCATGTATTTAATGATAACGGTGTTGATAGAGAAAAATGTCAAAATCTTCTTCGAGAAATACGAAAAAGTGATGATTTATATTTACGACAACAAGCAATGGAATATACTGTACCTTGGAAAGAAGATGGAGATATTGCAGATGATAATGATGACATGAGTGTTTCCGATCATCCTTCTAATGAAAATATGTCTTAAACAAATTGGTTTATTCAAACAAGAAACCTTTATTTTTTTGTTATTTCCTAGAAGTTTATAGTTCATAATCTTGAGAATAATTTTCTTGAAAAACATTTTTCAAGAATATTATTGATGGATTAAGTTTCCTTGATTTTTTTATAGAAACAATAAAGAAGTTTTTAGTTATTTCAAATTTATTGTTTAGTTATTAACTGTTGCAAAGAAATGGAAAGTATAGCTACAAATTGATTAATTACTTAATATGATTACAAAATCAGAATTCGATATTTTAATAAGAATATTTCTATACGAATTAAAAATTAAATTGAAAATATTGATTTTTACAGATGATTTATGTCCGCGGTAGTATAGTGGTGAGTATCCCCGCCTGTCACGCGGG